CTATATCTAACTCTTTTAGTTTTAGGACTTACAAACAACCGTTATGTGAACAAAACTATAATACTCTCTTTAGCAACTTTGTTGCGAGAGTATAAAAATGAAAGAATGTGTGCATGTTCCGAATAGTTTCCGAAACGGCTGAAACTTTCAGGAAATCTWTAGATTGRCCTGACGAGTAATTCTGTAAAGGTTAGTGACGATCGGTGCACTTTTTTTACCTGTCAAATACAGTTTTTATTTACTATGCACATGCGTTGTGTATATATATATGTAAATATGAAACATATTTTTTTTTTTTTAGGAATTCGAGATAAGTTGTAGCGCCGCGAATGTATACGTTTACTGATGCTTTTTCAATTGATTATTACWACGGAAAATTGTATTTTTCTTCACCAAACATGTTTCTTCACAGAATCATTGTAATAAATAAAAAATGGCACCCAAAAAAGCAAGTGTTAAGGAAAAAAGAGGAAMTGAAACAGCTGATGATCGTGAGTTAAGCCTTGAGAAAAATCGTAATAGAATATCTGCAAGAAGAAATATAGAAACTAAAGAAGAGCATAAATTACGGCGTCAACAAGATAGTGGAAAAAATCTTCTTCGCGAGCTACCGAGACTATCCAAAAACTTACGCAAAGACTTGATGCCAATCGTAACCGAATAGCTCAATTACGAAAAAAATAGATTTAAATCTTGYGGCGTTCAACTACAATAAKGATGATGATTACAGAAATCACGAGGACGTAGTGATCGGTGCAATGAACAAAGTTTGTACACATTGTCTTGCTTTGAAGTTCACTACAGAATCCCCTRGAATGTGCTGTTAGAACGGTAAAGATGTTTTGTTACCATTGACCTGMGCCACTTCTTAGTTATATTTCTAAGCGCACTTCAACTTCCAAACATTTTTTCAAAACATCCGAAAGTGTAATTCAACATAGTGACATGCAACATGCCGGTTCCATGCCCACTTTCAAAATGCAAGGTCAAATTTACATCAGAATTGGATCATTGCTCCCAGTTCAAGATGAAGATCCCAAGTTTTTACAAATTTATTTCACYGGTAATGTAGCTGCAGAAGCTGCTCGGGGTTGGCAATCAGTTCTGAAGTAAGACGAGAAATCGTCTTAGAACTTCAAACTATGTTTCATGAACACAACAGCYTCATACGYTCATTCAAGACAGGWCTAGACCARATGCCKAGAGATGATTATAAGGTTGTGATAAGAGCAGACAAAACACTACCCGGGAAGCATAAGCGGCGATTCAATGCACCGGTAAAAGACGACGTTGCAGTGGTTATGGTCGGAACAGAATTCGAGAGACGCGATATCATCATCCATCTCCGAAATAAAAACCTTTGACGCGTTGCGGACACGCACCGATCATATTATATGATGCATTACAGTATTCAGTTCTTTTTCCRAGTGACGAAGATGGTTACCATGTAATGCAAGTAAATTTAAATAATGAATCAACAAAAAAAGTTTCTTGGATGAACTTTTATGCCTACCGCCTTAAGATCCGACGAAATGAATTTAATAATTTGTTAATAAGCAGTAAACTACTACATCAATTTGTGGTCGACATATACGCAAAAATTGAAAGTGAACGTCTTCTTTTTATTTGGTTGAATCAGCGAAAGCTACGCGCCGAGGAATATATTCACTTACGTGATGCGATGATTAATTGATGAAAATGCTGAAAATATTGGCCAAATGGTGATTTTGCCAGCAACGTACGCCGACAGTCCTCGACATATGAACGAGTACGCCCAAGATGCTTTGACTTACGTGGGCCAGTACGGACGACGGGAACTTTTCCAACTTCAACAAACTTTTCCAAATTCAACACATTGACACGATCTCCTTGCACGAGTATTCAAACCAAAAAGCAAAATCTAGCTCGCCGAAGCGGGCTGGAAACGCTAGCCCTTAATAAAATGTTTTCTGTTCCTCTACTTCTCATATAAGACTATTTAAAATCGATACTCCACTCACCGAATGTGAGGATCAGTTAAACGTTCGGTATGTCTTCAAGAATGTTAATGATAATTGAAGATATCATTATCTAAGGATTAAATTATTAGCATATAATTTAACATTATCTAGTTTTCGTTTTATCTTATCTATTTACTTACAACGGAACTTATCGAAATCACTATATGTAAAGTATTAGAGGTAAAAAAAAAGTGTGAACTGCTTTTAATTTTTTTTTTTTTTTTTTTTTTGTTCATGTATGATGGTTATATCCTTAAGAGCTATACCGGGATAAAGCCTGATTTTGGCCGTAGCATAAGGACAAAGCTACTGTTGCAGACGATATATATATATGTATATATGTATATGCCCACTTTTAAAATGTCGTATCGTTGCATCATGAAACGGTTAAAATGAAAGTTCGCACCAAGGTTAACAGTTTGTTAGACATACGTATGAAATTCGTGCATACATATGTATGTATATCAAACACGTTAGTGAAAACGGCTACGTCGCGTCATACATACAGTTTGTTATATAGAGTCAGATCTGCCATAAGTTCCGTAACAAGCTCAGATAGTTATATAAATGATACTTTAATTATTTTTTTATTAAAGTTTATTTTATTTAAGAATGTGTATAAAACTTTATACTACTCCCCTAGCGAGTTTGTACGCTGGGCTTGGGACCCGCAACGTACAAACCACTCACAATGAAAAAGAAACAACAGCCTCGTATGAAAGACCCCACTTTTGATGACCACCACAAAAAACGTAATAAGGACTATGACTTAAGGACAAGAACGTTGATGGTCCGGTTCCTAAATTCGTAAGGTCCAATGCCCAGCTGGTTAATGTCCTCGTAAGAGTGAAGGCTGACATCACCGCCGCCCAGAGAAATGTGATGAACGAGACAAGGACGGAGACATTTACTACAGCGGCCATATAAAGGAGTGCAAATTCGGTGTGGGATTTGCGGAGGGAGAAAGACTGAGTCAGCGAGTGCTGTCATTTACACCGGCGGATGAGCGCCTGGCCACAATTCACAAATTATTCAACATAACACTAACGACGGCCCGACGGAAAATAAGGTCGATATGACCAAAGATGCGCTTATGACAATTGCCCCGCCATGATATAAAAAATCTGCTTGGCAATGATGTTAGCSCCATGGTGAGCAAAGATGGTATATTCGAGCATAAAAAAATTCACCAAGCTACTTGGCTGTCTCCGGATCGAAAAGATGGATACCAAGAGTTAAGGAGGATAACCAGACGCTTATATAGACAAAAAAAAAAAAAAAAAAAAAAAAAAAAAAAAAAAAAAAAAA